TATTACAAAATTGAACCATTTTCGCACATAACTTTACACAACACTCCAATTCAATTATTACTCAATTAATTTATGCATTGACTATTTAAAAGAAAATATTTTGGGACATTACAGAGCTCGAGTTAGACAAATTTTATGTGAGCCAAGTTCGAGCTCGAGTTGACATATTTGGGCCCGCTTCGAGCTCGAGCTGAGCTCGAACATCTTCAAAATAAATCAAGCCGAGCTCGAACATTGATAAACTCAGCTTGGCTCGGCTCAATTACACCCCTAGGCATATCACACCATTCCATTTATTAACAAGCTCCTTCTTCTTAGCAATTTTCTTCATCAACATAATTCTTACACTATTAATCAACTTTGTGATAAGTAAATGGTGTTCCTCCCATATCCATGAATTGAAAGATTCAACTACATTCGACCAGATCTCTCCAAAGCATTGCCCTCGAAAATATGCATTACTCCAATGATCATGTGGTATGTCATCTAAAAGCTTTTCAACTCTTGACCCACCTTCTGTCTTTAACTCAACCAAACATTGATGAAATGTTTCTTCAGTTGGATCATATGCACATTTCCTAAACAAAGTGATTAGCTTTTCTTTCAATCCACGAAACATACCACACAAATGATGCCTCAAGTTCATCTTCAAATGATATAAACAATAAGCATAGAAAGCCATTGGGAAAACCTTTGGCAAAACTTCAACTAATCCAAGGTTACGATCTGACACGAATGTAATATTTCGTTCTGGTGAAACAATTGTACTCAAATACTCCAAAACCAATGCCGGTTGTCTTGATTCTCTAAGCCAACAATTGCAAAACAAACAGGAAAGAACCCTGCATATACAAAATAGAAAAAATGAGAATATTCTATTATTCTTAAAAAATGGTAACATTTTAACATTCAAAATATCAAACACTAAATTGAATAACTGTAAAAATAAAAAATGCATATACAGCAACAATATTATATAAAATTTCAAACATTCAATCATATTTATAAACTGAGAACTTTCTCAATTCCAGAACAGAGAAAACAGATTTCTTGTGTACCTTGATTTCCATATTTTTCTGTAGTGGCAAGTAAATTTTCTCTAAATCTTCCCTTAAAAAATGTGACATCAAGAAGAGAGGTCAACAATAATCAAATCCACTAATGGAACCATAAAAAGCAATAAATAATCTCTTAAACTGTTAGTATCATCGTCATGCTCAAACTCAATGTAATCCCTGGATTGTAACTCTTTGCAACATCAACATACCATCTTAACTGGTCAAATGACATTAAGTAGTCTCCAAAAAATCACCATTTGCTTTCTCTACCCCCAACCAAGCTTGACGATAACTACCTCTCAGCCCATGCCTCAACTTAAAATCCCGAACAACATGAACTAGACATGTCAATGGATTATCACGAACACCTTCAATAATTAAATCAACAACTATATCAGAACTCATACGAGAATGATTCATTGTACGTACTTCAGCACCATATGTGTGGACATTGTTGAGCTTCCTTATATAAAAGAACATACTAGCATGCTTCACTCCACCATGAACATTCCACATACAACCTTTTGTCTCTCTAAACAAACATTGTGCGGTAACATGAACTTTATCATTTTTAACAAATATGAACTCAAATCCACACTCAATAGAAAACTTCGACAATGCACTATGAAATTCAACAATTCTACCTTCAAATTTCTGTCCTACATGTGTAATACTAACTGCCTAACCAGTAGACAACAATATTTTTTCCTTGTGTCGACAAAATGATGATAACATATCAACCTCTTCTTCAACCTCTAACCTCGAATTCCTATTGGATGATGTAGGTGCACTGTTTGACAAGTTCACAGACTTATTGTTGTCATGAGACAATGCAATATCACAACCTTCAAGCTCCAACATTGACTCACTTTCTCCATAATCCAATCTTTTGTTGAGATTACCACAGTTAATGGTTGAGTTTTTTCCCCTCACAACAACATCAATACACTTTGAATCAAAATGAATAACTAATGCCAACAACAATCCTAACTCCTCATTGTTGTCCAACGTACAACTAGGATGTCCAGGCAATGAGTAAGATAGGCAATTGTTATCAGATTGCAAACTATCTCATTTCAAGCATAGCTTATCAACCAACTGATCATATGTAACATTCCGATCAAACTTAATTTCAAATGTGCAACCATTATACTTGCACAACAAAAAAATCAGGACACTCGTAGAACCTTTAGACATATTTCAATCTGAACAAAAAAAAAAAATCGCATCAATAAAAGCTAGCACAATACTTAGTTTATTGAAACTATAAAACCAGAACAAATACTACATAACAATACTAAGAACTTTTTCAGTTTTCACAAAACACGCTTTCAATTAATAAAATACCAAACGAAACCAAGAAATCATCCAGCAAATCATGTCTTCAATTTGTAAAAATTGAAATTATTCAACATATTCACATAAATAAATTCAATCAAAACTAAAGAAAATTCTAAAAACACATAATATACAAAATCGAAACAATACATACCTATAAACCAGCAGATCAATTCTTCAATTTATAACTCGAAATTGCACATAACAAACTCCAACAGATTTCAATTCAAAAAGCCTTAACCACGAATCTGTCAAAACTGAGAAATCAGTTTATGTATAATAGCGAACCAAATCGAGAAATCTCTAAAGATCCTTCGCGATTCAAATCTTCATCTACTTCCATAACTAATTTGTGTTTTCTTTCTAGTAAATAACGTCAATGCTATTATATATATACTTGTTTGGGTTGAAGGGCAAAAACGTCTTTTTACCTGTAAATGGGACATATTGGTTTAAAAATATTTTTCCAGGACCTAAGCTACTACCAAATATGTAGATAGGACTTTTAGGTAATTAATCCAAAAATAAATGAGTAAAAATTAATATTAAGTATAATATTTTAGTATTTTAATTTTATTATAATAAAAAAATTAAATATAATCGGGGCTGGGTTGAGTATAACGAGGTGGGAGAAACAAAATCCGTCCCCGTTCCACTTCCTCAGGCGGAGAAAACCTGTGTGAAACTATTTGCACTACATTTTATTTTTCTGTTGATTGTGGCCTATTAATTATGGCCAAATTCAATTATGGTCTGTTGATTAAAATTATAAACTATTTTCAAAAAATAACTTTGACCATATTTGTTTTTATTATTTTTGTCGACATGTATGTTGTCATAGCGTGATAAGTATGATAATAATGTGGCCTGGAAGAGATGATGATATGATTTGAAAAGATTAAATAAAGCTAATAAAGATATTTATTGAAATCAATTAGAAATCATATGCTAAAATCGAGGGGATCAATATCAAGTCAAAACACAAAATCTGCAAGTAGTTCCTATGAAGATATGAGATATGGTTGAGTGGAGCAAAGATCAAGGAAGATCATGGATTGATTGCTACAACATGAGGTGGTTAAGCAAGTATAAAACGAGACTTGAAGAATGAAAAAAGAAAATGAATCAATCAGCAAATACATGTGTAGAATTATTTAGGAGTAGTTCTAAATTAGGATTTTAGGAGTAGATTAAACTAGTAGTTTTTTCCAACCCCCATTTATCTTTTTTTCTTTTGTCGATTGTTGTATTTCTTCAATCTTTAGTTCTTGTAACTAGTGACAAGTGACAATTCATTCAAATTAATACATATTCTTTTTTGTTCTATCTTTTCTTTGCCTAATTACCTCCAGGGAAGTCCTTAATCTGTTTAAGGCAGAAAACTCAACCACAAAGTTTGATTTTTATTTGTGTTTACTTAAATATTGGTTTGAGTATGTCGATCAAATCATTGTCGATTAGGCTTGAACTAAATTTGTACCAACAGAAATGAAGCAGGAGAAAATGACCGTGCCAAATTACAAGGCACATTTTAATAATTTTAATAATTTGTTTTTGTGTAGATTTTTCAATTAAGAAAAATATGAGACTAATTTGACAGCCAAAACTATAAGATTTTATCAAATTTATTTTTAAAAAATAAACATGTATGATTTTGAAAATAGATTATTGATTTTTTTTTAAAAAAAAGAAAATGTGATAAAATCATATGATTTTTATCAAATCAATATTTTATTTTTAATAAAAAAATTATAAATAAAAACTTAAAAATTAAACCAACTGAATCATCTAAATAATTTATTTTTTTTAGAAAAGAGTGCAAGAGTTTTACAGCTTGGCATTTTGAAGTTCATCGGGTCATGCATTTGGGCAAAAAAACACGGCAGCTCACTCATCCAAGGAAAATTATTAAATATTTTTGGAATATTAGGTGATATACTTTACTTAGCACTTTTAGCAAATAAAAAATTACAACACACGATTATATTTTTAGTAGCTTTTTATTAATTTTTCTTCTTTGGCGAACTTTCTTTAAGTCAACTTGTTTATTTTCAATTTTTTTTTTTATTTTTTTTTCTGAATGTGAGTTTAAAAATTTTTGCTACGAAACATCACTTAAGTAATACTATGTAGTGCTACGATACTATTAAATAATACATATTCATTTATCATGTAGGTGTAATTCGAATATCAAATGATTGAAAAGGAACATTAATTAATTTGCCTGACTAACAAAGGGTTATTGAGAAATTAAGGGATTCTCATAGTAACAAAAGGTACAACTTAGATAAGCACAATAAGGCTACTCTTAGCATTTGAAATTCATCGTTTCATTGCTTATTACAATAAACTGATAGTGAAAAGAAAGCTTTGCACAAAATAAAAACAAAAAAATTACACAAAGAAGTATCTCCACTGTGGGGACTTCTTATTCACAAATAAACTTGTTTAAATTAAAAATTGAATAACAATGCCACAAATGCCTTCAAAAACAACTTCAAAATATGGAATTATTTATTCTTGTTGAAATTAAAGCTGATGCAATATTAATTAAGTTGCAGGCCTTAAATAGTATGGGTTGAGGCATAGGTGGCAGTGGCTGACTTAATAATGGTGCGGTGGTGGTGGTGAGTTGTAGTAGTATGGAGGTGGTGGTGATGGAGATGGTGGAGGAGGAGAATTGTAGTAGTAGGGCGGTGGTGGTGACTTAACTGGTGGAGGTGGTGATTTGTAGTAGTATGGAGGTGGAGGTGGTGATTTAACTGGGGGAGGTGGTGATTTGTAATAGTAGGGTGGTGGTGGTGACTTCACTGGTGGAGGTGGGGATTTGTAGATATATGGAGGAGGTGGTGACTTCACTGGAGGTGGTGGTGATTTGTAGTAGTAAGGAGGTGGTGGAGAAGGAGATGGTGGAGGTGGCGATTTGTAATAGTATTGTGGTGGTGGTGATCGAGATGGTGGGGGTGGTGACTTATAATAGTAGGGTGGTGGAGGTGATGGCGATGGTGGTGGTGGTGACGTGTGGTGGTGGAGATGGGGTGGTGACTTGTAGTAATAAGGTGGAGGAGGAGACGAAGAAGGTGGTGGTGGAGATTTGTAATAATATGGTGGAGGGGGTGATGGAGATGGTGGAGGTGGTGACTTATAGTAGTAAGGTGGGGGTGGAGATGGAGATGGCGGTGGAGGTGACTTGTAGTAGTAGGGTGGTGGTGGCGATGGAGATGGTGGAGGTGGAAATTTGTAAATATACGGAGGTGGCGGTGATGGTGATGGAGGAGGTGGTGATTTGTACATATAGGGTGGTGGCGGGGATGAAGACGGTGGAGGTGGAGATTTGTAAATGTAGGGAGGTGGTGGCGATGGTGATGGGGGAGGTGGCGATTTGTAAACGTAAGGTGGTGGTGGAGATGGTAATGGTGGTGGTGGAGACTTGTAAATATAAGGAGGTGGAGGTGGTGAAGCATAAATATAAGGCGTATTAGCAGCAACACTAGTTGCTGCTAAGCAAAATACCAAAGCATAGACAAATTGAGGCCATTGCCTCAAACTCCCTAGGCTTCCCATTTCGATCTCTATGTTGGTTTGTGTCTTGGATGATGAGAGTGAGAGAGTACTATCCCCTTTATATACTAATCCATGGGGTTGACTTTTCACAATGATAATCTCGATCTGTTTGTTACGGCAAACAGGCTGGAATTGGAGGATAGCAAATTAGCAATTAATCAATACTAACCCAAATATCAAATTTTCCACATTTAAAAAAAAAAATGTTTATGAATAAATCTGCAGACTCATAAATTAATTATAGAACTAGATACACAATGTATATAAACAAATAAAATTCTTCAAAACTAAATCTACATGTATTTTTTATGTTTCTGATATTGTAATTGATTTTTATATTCGTAACATATTTATTTTATTTATTTGTTTTTAATTTACCTATTACGGAAAGGTGGTGTGCCACTAAGATACGTGAGAATTCCGTTTGGGAAGGTCCCCATATAGGGCCATGAACATGTCAAGAAACATAAAAAATGGGCAAAATGGACACACAATAAAAATATTGAAAATGATATATATAACGGTTTTTAAATTTTATTTATTGGCCACTATACACAAATGACATATCTTTTGTCTTAATTTAAAAAAATTCTAGTGAAAATTATATTTATGTTTAGGATTACTCAATAAATATATACACATACAATTATATGAAAAGTTAATGGATTTGTGACATTATATTTATGTAGTATTATTCATCAATGAAAATTTATAACGTGCACTAACAAAAGTGAGTTGTCACATTGATAAACTTTTCACTACGTAATTAATTTGAAATATTCTAAATAATATTGCATCGTATTTTGAGCCTTTTGGATAATTTAAGAGAAATTACATACCAATGGAATCTTTTTAAAATAATTACTATTTCATCAAAAAAATTATAATTTTAATTGCTAAAATTTGTAAAATTTTTCATTGATCTGAAATTATTTTTACAAATATCTGTTGATTTGTTATTTCCTCAATAATTTATCTGCACATAAATGCATATATTTAGCTTTAACTCAATTTTCACTCTTGCTTCAAATTCATGTGTTGGGTTAATTAGACTTGCTATAATTCATGTCATGATATTGGCTTGTTTTGGAAAATAGGTTAAAAGTTGACCCCTTGATTTTTTTTTATAGCTTTTTTTGAAAAAAAAAATATGAAAAAAAATAGAGAGGTGACGTAACTTGAAATAGATTAAGTGACCTTTAACCAAATTCCCAAAATAGGTCATTGTCATATTTTTACGGTGAAACAAAACAAAATACATGGGACTAAGTTCTCTCTCTACGCATCCCCAACATCTCAGCCACTAGCCGCTTACGAATCTCAGCTGGGGGGTCATTAACAACTAAGATGTCTTCAAGTTGTGCAGCTCCCAATTTGGCTAGAGCATCCATGCATAAGTTTCCTTCACGATAGACAAGTTGAGCAGTGCATTGGCAGCCATTGAATATGATCATTGCATCTTCCGTTAGACCTTTGTAAGGGTGTTTGTCTCCAAGGCCTTCTTCAAGCAGCTTGACTACTTCCTGAGCATCGGTTCCCACAATCACGTTGTTGAAGCCTTTTTGGAGAATGATTGTTAGTCCTTTGTACACCTCCCACAATTCAGTTTCAAGGCTGGTGCAGCTGTCTATCCTCACAATGATTGTCAGTCCTTTGTACACCCCCCACGTATCATTTATGTTAATTCTAATTATTTTAGCCTAATAAAAGAGGAGTTATTTTTACCTTTTCTATAATCACAAAACAAAATGATTAAATTTAAATTAAATGAAATAAAGAATATCACATCATTATATATAAAAATTATTTTTAAATAAATTATTTTTTATTTGACAGCTATTGTAGTTAGGTACAAGAATATGCATTCATCATGGGTTAAGTTTATATCCAATTCACCGGCACAGTAATAATATATTCTATCAATTTAAAAACTTGATTAAAAGTTATTTTTTTGACTTTTAATCTATTTTAAGTCAAATCACCTTCTTTTTTTTTTTTACATATTTTTCAAAAAAAATAAATAAAAAAGAGTCAAAATCCAATTTTTAATCTATTTCCCAAAACAAATGTTTTTAAAAGGGGCAATTACATCCTAATATAGTTTTATAAAAACAATTACATATACATAATAAATTTTATGATTTTAATTATTAATATTTATAAAATTTATTATTGATTTTTAATTTTTTTTTAAATGTTAATGATTTGATATTTTTTCCTTTTTAAAAACCTCTATTCTATTCAATAATTTTGTAATAATTGTGGCAAGGTTGCTATCACTCTCTTTGACTTTCGTGCACTATTCATGATTATTGTCTATGGAAGCAAAGCTTCAATTTTTTTCCCCCTCTTTTTCTATCTAATAAAAAATTAATTACAAATATAAAAAGACGTATATTAAATTAAATAATTATAATCTAACAAGAAGCCCATAAAATTGACCACTTAACTTCTCAAATGTACATAAATGACTAACTCAATTAGCCTAATTGCTTCATCAATTCATCTTTTAAATTGTTAAAAATTGAAAATCATCAAATAATTACGAGTTATTTCGAATTGATAAATATGGGTCGTCATTAATTTCTTAACTAAAAATAGCAAGTATCTAAAAAAAATTAATATATGATTCAAATTTATTTATTATATATATAAATTTCTTAACTAAAAATAGCAAGTATCTAAAAAAATTAATATATGATTCAAATTTATTATATATATATATATATATATGATAAATCAACCCATATAATACTTCTTTGAATAAATTTTGATTATTTTTGTAAATGCATAAAATTATTGTTATTTAACTATAGGTGTCCCGTATAAAATGTTGAAGAGAATACCAGTTGTGCAAGTTTGGTAAGGAAATGGAATAAGTCAACCCTTTCGTGTCTGGTTCTTAAGGTGTGCTTTTATTTAATTGTCTTTTGTTGTCCTTTTTTATTATAATTATTATAATTATTGTTTTATGCTTTTTATTGTTTTGTTATTTTTTGTCAAAGTTATTGTCTGTCTTTGAAAATAAAACTTTTCTTTTCTTTTCCCAAATATATATATATATATATATATATCCAATCTAGAAACTTGATCAACAAAGTTGTGCAAGTTTGGCAATGAAATGAAATAATTTTTGCATGAAATTGTTCCCCGGATTTAAGATATGATTGTGTTTGTTACGTTAATTTTACTGATTATGAAAAGCAAAATTTTATGTGTACTAATTAATAAAAAAATAAATTAAAACTCTATTTTTAAAGTTCACCATGCCCGAAGAATTCGGAGCTGCCCTCAAGAACTGAACACAAATATTCAATGCATGTGGTTTGAGAGATTTTTTTATGAAAAAGTCTATACTTTAAAAATTAAATGGAGAGTTGAGATTCAAATGATGTGTTGTGAGTTTATGTAAAGATTAAAATTTCAACCACACATTCATAATTTTAGATAAAATTTTTGTTCTGAGTATGGAATGTGATTACTTTTATATATTCATTTTTTTTTTAGGAGACAACTAGTTTGGTTTGTGAGAAACTAGAAGAGAAAAACAATCAATTAGAAAATAGAAAAAAAAAACAAGAAGTTAAAGGAAATTCGATGTTCATTCATAGGCAATACTTGGCAAACTATATATATATTTATTCTGATATTACACTTGGCAGTATTTGGTTCATTATAATTAAAGTAGAATAAAATAATTATTTAATTTTTTTTTAAATGACTATTATTTTACAATAATAAATAATAAATATTTTGATGTCCTGATCGTTCTTGTGAACCATACACTCGGTAGGAACACATATTGAGAAAACAATCAATTTCGAATTTTGGATGACTTTTGTGTAAGAATATCCATAGAGTGGCCCATATGCTACATGTTTATTTATTTATTTATTATATATATATATATATTTAATCAATTTAATGGGTAATGGGTAACTAACGTGAAACATGTCAATTATCCCATATGATGGTTTCATGGGAAGTTACAACTTCCCTGATGGTGGGAAGTTATAAAGAGTTACACTTGGATCATGGGTCCAAGCCTATCTATATATGCCTGTGATAGCTATCAAAACACAGATGCTGTTTGTGAATAGAATAGATTTGAAATTCTGTTCCTTCCACTTTTCCAGATGGTTCTGTATAAGTATTTTGTATTTTGTGAGTGATTTTATTTATACATTCAAGACTTGATCAAGAATAAGATTCAAAGGTTTGAAATCATGACATGAGGTATTTTTCTTTTATTAAATTATTTTAATTTTCACAATTGGTATCAGAGCCTCCTCATATTTTGTTGTTTAGCCTTATTGTATTTTTATGGACGCCATTACATTATATATATTTTCTTGAACCTCAATTTTGTTATGGTGTAGATATTTGCAATTTTATGCATTTGTTCAGTTCATTTTAATAGGCAAATTACATATACCCTCTTGAGATTTAGCAAAATTACAAATACCCCCTTGAGGTTTGAGAAATTACAGATACCCCCCTGAAGGTTATATTTGCATAATAAATTAGGGGGCAAATTGTTATGAAATTATAAACCCCAGGAAACAATTTGTTATGAAAATATAAACTTTAGGGGAGTATCTGTAATTTTCAAAACCTCAAGGAGATATCTTTAATTTAGCTAAACCTCGAGGGAGGTATATGTAATTTGCCTTATTGTTTTCTACGCCTCTTAATGCTTCCGCATGTTCATTCAGGTTGACATACCACCATGAGCTCTTGGACCTTTGTTTTGTTTGTTCTTGTGAAGAGAATCTATAACCTGTAGACCATTATAATAAGTTATATATATATATAGAGAGAGAGAGAGGTTTGATATTCTACTACTTAATGGTGGATTTTAGATTTATACAACAACCATTATTATACAAGATTTGTAGTTTCACTTGTATATTTTTGTACTATTTAAAGATTAACCTTTGAAATTAATATAAACGTTTACTATTTGGTTTATCTTGTTTAAAAAAGATTTTTTTTTTTTTTGAAACATGTTGGTTAATTTTCTCGTTATTAGAAATAAATTGTTGCATGATATAAATTAATTAGAGGTAATAATAGAATTCATCTTGTTTTATAATAGTAGTGTTTATATTAATTTAGAAGTATTCCTATTCTAAATTTGGTGTGTTTTGAAAACCTACTGTATATCATTAAGTATGAGTTTTCATTAATTGACACACATTGAAGACCATTTTGTATAAAATCTAGAAATTCTCATGCATTTATTTGGGTCCATTCAGTTAATTTTAAAAGGCATTAAAGACTTTAATTTATTTCTAGAGTTTTATAAGGATGTGATATTGAGGATATTTTGTTTATCATTTTTTTTTTAGGAGACAACTAGTTTGGTTTGTGAGAAACTAGAAGAGAAAAACAATCAATTAGAAAATAGAAAAAAAAAACAAGAAGTTAAAGGAAATTCGATGTTCATTCATAGGCAATACTTGGCAAACTATATATATATTTATTCTGATATTACACTTGGCAGTATTTGGTTCATTATAATTAAAGTAGAATAAAATAATTATTTAATTTTTTTTAAATGACTATTATTTTACAATAATAAATAATAAATAATTTGATGTCTTGATCATTCTTGTGAACCATACACTCGGTAGGAACACATATTGAGAAAACAATCAATTTCGAATTTTGGATGACTTTTGTGTAAGAATATCCATAAAGTGGCCCATATGCTACATGTTTATTTATTTATTTATTATATATATATTTAATCAATTTAATGGGTAATGGGTAACTAACGTGAAACATGTCAATTATCCCATATGATGGTTTCATGGAAAGTTACAACTTCCCTGATGGTGGGAAGTTATAAAGAGTTACACTTGGATCATGGGTCCAAGCCTATCTATATATGCCTGTGATAGCTATCAAAACACAGATGCTGTTTGTGAATAGAATAGATTTGAAATTCTGTTCCTTCCACTTTTCCAGATGGTTCTGTATAAGTATTTTGTATTTTGTGAGTGATTTTATTTATACATTCAAGACTTGATCAAGAATAAGATTCAAAGGTTTGAAATCATGACATGAGGTATTTTTCTTTTATTAAATTATTTTAATTTTCACAATTGGTATCAAGCCTCCTCATAGCCTTATTGTATTTTTATGGACGCCATTACATTATATATATTTTCTTAAACCTCAATTCTGTTATGGTGTAGATATTTGCAATTTTATGCATTTGTTCAGTTCATTTTAATAGGCAAATTACATATACCCTCTCGAGATTTAGCAAAATTACAAATACCCCCTTGAGGTTTGAGAAATTACAGATACCCCCCTGAAGGTTATATTTGCATAATAAATTAGGGGGCAAATTGTTATGAAATTATAAACCTCAGGGAACAATTTGTTATGAAAATATAAACTTTAAGGGAGTATCTGTAATTTTCAAAACCTTAGGGAGATATCTTTAATTTAGCTAAACCTCGAGGGAGGTATATGTAATTTGCCTTATTGTTTTCTACGCCTCTTAATGCTTCCGCATGTTCATTCAGGTTGACATACCACCATGAGCTCTTGGACCTTTGTTTTGTTTGTTCTTGTGAAGAGAATCTATAACCTGTAGACCATTATAATAAGTTATATATATATATAGAGAGAGAGAGAGGTTTGATATTCTACTACTTAATGGTGGATTTTAGATTTATACAACAACCATTATTATACAAGATTTGTAGTTTCACATGTATATTTTTGTACTATTTAAAGATTAACCTTTGAAATTAATATAAACGTTTACTATTTGGTTTATCTTGTTTAAAAAAGATTTTTTTTTTTTTGAAACATGTTGGTTAATTTTCTCGTTATTAGAAATAAATTGTTGCATGATATAAATTAATTAGAGGTAATAATAGAATTCATCTTGTTTTATAATAGTAGTGTTTATATTAATTTAGAAGTATTCCTATTCTAAATTTGGTGTGTTTTGAAAACCTACTGTATATCATTAAGTATGAGTTTTCATTAATTGACACACATTGAAGACCATTTTGTATAAAATCTAGAAATTCTCATGCATTTATTTGGGTCCATTCAGTTAATTTTAAAAGGCATTAAAGACTTTAATTTATTTCTAGAGTTTTATAAGGATGTGATATTGAGGATATTTTGTTTATCATAGTTGCATGTTTAAATAGTAAGTAAATTCATTTGAATTTCATACAGTAAACTATCTTAACATATCCTTTAAAAGCCTTATAAATTTTCATAATAATTGACATGCTCTCTAGTATAGTGTAACATCACATTACATGTATCAAGATTATTTATTCCATGAAAATTTACGTGAAATAAGAGCATGTATGTACTGTGTGTGTGTGTTGGACTTACGGAATTTATTTTGGTCCAACTTTTAAGCAAAATTTAGTATAAGGTTGAATTATATGTGTTTGTTCTTGGTATTTTTCATATGATATTACTCTGATTGCATGTGTTATTTATTATGTACTTGTTGTGATCATAAAGATTTGCTCACATTAATAAATTATGCCATAATTAAAACATTTATTATGTTTTAAGAGTAACCACAATATCTTAAGACATAAAGATGTAGTGATTCTCAGCATTTTTATCACATAAAGTTAAAAAAAATTAATTTGGTATTTTTATATTGTAATTATGTTTTATAAATAATTTCTTGGTTCCATAGGAAAGTAGTTCCACAGGAAAGTAGTTATTTATGAAATTTAATTAGAATAAGATAATGGATTGGGTATTAAAGGGATTGAACACTCTAAACCCACATGTATGAGTTTTCTTTTCCTTGAATATTTCGGAATTCATTAGTCTAATTATAAAGTAATAGCAAATCTAATAAAGTTTAGTAATCTTTACCCACAGGAAGGTTTAGATTTGTTACTAAATTTGACATTGGTTGATTCAGACTATAGTTATTGTTTCAAAGCATTAATAATATTCTTGGTAATTGAAGTGATTTCTACCTCTATACTGTCTAATGAGTCTTCTCATATTCCATTCTTGAATGGTGATAATTTTTTAGATTGGAAAGACAAAATCCTTCTAACATTAGGGTGCATGGACCTCGATCTGGCACTCCATGTGGATGAACCTCCTGAACCTATGGACGAGAGTTCCGTTGCAGAAAAGAGTGCTTATGATAAGTGGGAGCGATCTAATTGCTTAAGCCTAATGCTCATAATGTCAGATATCAGCCAGAGCATTAGCAAATCAATCCCATCATTTGATAAGGTCAAGAACTACATGAGGGCTATTGAAGAGCAATTTGTTAGTTCTGACAAGGCATTGGCAAGCACCGTAATGAACAAACTATCAGGAATGAAGCATAACAATTCTAGGAGTGTGCGTGAGCACATTATGGAAATGAGAGACATTGCAGCTCGTCTTAAGTCCTTAGCGATTGAGATTTTTGAGTCATTCCTTGTCAATTTCACACTCAATTCTCTTCATGTGGAATGTGGAACATTCCAAATTTCTTACAACACACAGAAAGAAAAATGGTCTATCAATGAACTTTTGACCATGTGTGTTCAAGAGGAGGGGAGATTGAAGCATAGAAAAGTGGAAAGTCCCCATTTAGCAACACATAAAGGAAGGCAATGCAAAAAGGGCAAAGGTGATAAGAAATGAAAGAAGCTTGGCATTTAAAAATCATGGCAATAAGGATGCATGCTTCTTCTGCAAGAAAAAGGGTCACATAAAGAAAGACTGCCCTAAGTATAAGAAATGGCTTTAGAAGAAAGATAATCTTATATCGCTTGTGTGTTATGAATCTAATTTTGTTAATACTCATCAATATGAGTGGTGGATTAATTCGGGTTCTACAATTCACATTGCTAATACCATGTAGGGCTTCCTCAGCCTAAGGAAACCAACGGGAAGTGAACAAGGCATCTATTCAGGCAATGGGATGTGTTCACACGTCTAAGCTGTGGAAACTTTCAGACTTGTTTTAAATAGTGGCTTTGTTTTGGATCTTGAAAACACTTTTAACATTCCATCTTTTTCTAAAAATTTAATTTTTGTTTCTAGACTAGTATCGTTCGGATTTGAATTTCAATTTGTTGGTACAAATTTTAGTTTGTTTAAAGACTCTCTTTCTGTAGGATTTGGTACTTTAATTAATGGTCTGTACAAATTAAATTTGGATCCTATTTTTGAACAAAATCTTTTAACCTTGCATGGTGATATTGGCATTAAGCGTAATGTTGTTGATGAGTACTCCTCTGTACTTTGGCATAGGAGATTGGGACATATCACCATTGAAAGAATAAAGAGGTTGGTTAATGATGAAGTCCTTCTGACTCTTGATCTTACCAACTTTGGTATTTGTGTGGATTGCATAAAGGGAAAGCAGACCAACAAGACTAGTAAAGGTGCCAAAAGGAGTGAGGAAATTCTTGGAATCATATAGACTGATATTTGTGGACAATTTACTCCACCTTGTCTGAATAATCAGAGATATTTTATCTCATTTATTGATGAATATATACGATACATGTATCTCTACCTCGTGTTTGATAAGGCCGAGGCACCTGATGCCTTTAAAGTTTATAAAGCAGAGGTAGAGAAACAAGCATGAAAGAAAATTAAAATTGCGAGGTCAGACAAGGGTGGAGAATATTATTGGAGGTACATAGAATTGGGACAATTACTAGGTCTATTTGCTAAGTTCCTTAAGGAATAAGGCATTATTTCACAATATTCAATGCTTGACACATCACAACAAAATGGTATTGCTGAAAGAATGAACCGAACACTTATGGACATGGTAAGGAGTATGCTTAGTTATTCTAATGTGCCTATAAATTTGTGAAGTGAAGCTTTGAAAATCGCTGTGTATATCTTAAACAGGGTTCTGTCCAAGGTTGTTCCCAAAACACCATTTGAGTTAGGGAAATGATGGAAGCCAACACGTTTGGGGTTGCCCAGTTGAAGTGAGGGTGTATAACCCACATTTAAAGAAATTAGACCCCAGAACAGTTAGTGGTTTTTTCATAGGCCATACGGAAAGCTCCAAGGGCTATAGATTTTATTGGGCTATAGATTTTATTGTCCTTCAAATGCACTTGGAATTGTTGAAGCCAGAAATGCTAAATTTATTGAGGAAGTTGACCATAGTGGGAGTTACCCTTGAAAGATAGAGTGGGAGGAATCACGGGATCCGGATACAACACTCGTGAATATAGGTGAATTGGTTGTCTTTTAAGATAATCAACCAGATATTCTTGAAAATCAACAAATTCAAGAACTTCCACCACAAGAGGAACAAATCAACATAGAGCCTGTAGCTCAAGTCCTAATTGAGACTACAGAATTAAGTAGATCCTTACGAGCTAGAAAGTCAACAATTTCTAGTGATTATTTTGTATACTTAATGGAGTCTAATTTTGACATCGGACATAAAGATGATCCTATTTCGTTTTCCAATGCCATGAATAAGGATGATTATAAATTATGGTATGATGCCAAGAAGGAACAGTTGGAATCTATGGCTAAGAATCAAGTTTGGGAAATTGTCGAGTTGCCTAAAGGAGTTAAAGTTGTTGGCTATAAATTGGGTCATTAAGACCAAGAAAGACTCAAATGACAATGTTGAACGATATAAGGCCAGACTTGTAGCTAAAGATTTCACTCAAAGAGAAGGCATCGATTAGCATAATACCTTCCATCCGGTTTCAAAAAAAGGATTCATTTAGAATTATCATGGCCTTAGTGGCTCATTTTGATTTAGAGCTACATCAAATGGATATGAAAACGACATTTTTAAGTAAGGATCTTGAGGAAGAAGTACACATGAAGCAATCTGAAGATTTTTGTTGTGATAAAGATATTTACTTAGTTTGCAAGCTCAAGAAATCCATATATGGCCTAAAACAAACTTCTCGTCAGTGGTATTTAAAGTTCCACAATGTTATTACTTCATATGGTTTTACAGAGAATGTTGTGAACAACTTTATATACCTTAAGGTTAGTGGGAGCAAATACATTTTTCTAGTTCTATATGTGGATGACATTTTACTTGCATCTAATGATTTGGGATTGTTGCATGATACTAAACAATTTCTTTCCCAAAATTTTGAAATGAAGGATATGGGTGAAGCTTCTTATGTCATTGGCACAGAGATTCACAGAGATAGGTCCAAAAGGACATTAAGATTGTCTCATAAAGCCTATATTGAAAGAGTTTTGGAGAAATTCAAGATGAGTGATTGCACTCCTAATGTAGCGCCCATTTTAAAGGGTGACAAATTCAGTTTCAGTCAATGTCCGAAGAATGATTTGGAAAAGGAACAAATAGTTAGCATTCACTATGCGTCTGTTGTAGGCAGTTAATGCATGCTCTGGTTTGTACACGACCTGACATTGCATTTGTGGTTGGGATGCTTGGAAGATACCAAAGCAATCCATGAATGGATCATTGGAAGGCTGCAAAGAAATCATGAGGTACTTAAAGGGAACCAAGGACTACATGCTTACTTACAAGCATGTTGACTGTCTTGAGGTGGCTGGACATTTAGACTTGGATTTTGCGAGTTGTCAAGATTCCAGAAAATCCACTTTAGGATATGTCTATCTGCTAGCAGGCGGTGTTATTTCATGGAAGAGTGCCAAAGAGACGATAATTGCATCATCAACAATGGAAGCAGAGTTTATAGCATGCTTTGAAGCAACATTACAGGCTATTTGGTTAATGAATTTTATCACAGGACTTCGAATTGTGGATTCAATTTCTAGGCCATTAAAGGTTTACTGTGATAATTTGACTGCAGTTTTCTTCTCTAACAATAACAAAAGTGGTAGCTGAAGCAAGCATATTGACATAAAGTATCTGGTTGTTCGAGACCGTGTTAAGAAAGAAGAAGTCAGCATTGAGCATATTAGTATCAATATGATGGTTGTGGATCCCGTGACCAAAAGTCTTTCTGTAAAGGTGCTTTCAAAACACGTTGAAGGCATGAGACTAATTGGTTAGCTTAATAATTTTTCTAGTTATTGTTTTGTTTTGCTTTATTTTGTCATGACATTTTGATTATTATTAAAGAAAAGCATCATTTTGTGCACCTAAAGTATTTGTGATGCTACGCAGTCCGTTGGGACTATTGATCCATAAGGATCATTGGACCAAGAATAACTTATTAGAAGTTATTTATAAAGAATGACACCACATAAAGTTGAGAGTATCATACAATGAAATACATGGAAGGAAATACTCAATTGATAGAGTATAACAACCATGATTTGTGTATTATGACTCTAAGGTTTGGGTATTTTATTTAATGGCCATAATCAGTTTGTTAGTTACCTGAAAGTCAACAAAATGTGTTATGTAACAACCCTCACCTTACTCTTGTCATACTTGCATACATTCCTGCACGATCTTGCCTTGTTATGTTAATTGGAAGGATTTGCTTGCCTTGTTTTGTTTGTATTGCTTGCGTAGTTTTGTTCCTCATTCGGTGTGTGTGTGGCCGAGGTCACCTTGAGCTTAGTTCGCCTTTGAACCTTTGTACTTAGAACTGTTTTGAGACCTTGGTCGACCCCCACCTTCACCTCGGGCATTTATTGCCGAGATGTTTTGCACTCAGTGAACCTTGTCCGCAGGCAGGTATGGCCTAGGCCGAGATGTGGCACACCCCGGCCAAGGTGTGGCACAGCTTAGTCAAGTGTCGTCCTCCCTACCCGATGTTTTTGTTATCCTGTTGCCGGATCCTTGATTTGAGCCGATGTCATTTATTGCCGATGTGTCTTACCCAGCTTGCTGAATACGCTTTGTCAGAGACTTGTCTTATCTATCAATCACCTTTTTGAGTTGAACCAACCCGGCAGCGCCACGTGTCCGAGCTGATTGTTAAGACAGCCGGCAGACCTAGAAGCAAATCATTTTCTTGT